TCTGGTGTTAATCAGAAAGGCCCCATAGTCAATAGATGGCAGTGGACCATCCTAGATATTTGAAGGAGGGGAGAGGTTAGAGCTAGAAAGAGGGCCAATTTAGACCAGGGAAAGGAGAGAGATTCACCAGGACTACAGTGAGGACTGTTCAGCAGTTACGATCTTTTCCACCTGGATTTTGGAATATTTTTATGAAAAGCCATAAGAAACTAGTACGGAGTCTGAAGTAGAAATGGAGTGTCACCAATCTGTGCACATCAAGTGCCAATCAGAAAGAGAGGGGCCAGAGTGAGGTCAGAGAGTTCTGAGAGAGGAGAGAGAGGAGCAGAGAGCCCCCCTTCAAGTAAGCCAAAGCTAGAGCAGGAGACACTTTGCTGATCAGAGCAAGTCCTCTCTGAAGACCTGGACAGAATGGGGGATGGTCACTTCTCCAACCATTTCTTGGGAAAGGATCTGGGTCAAGACAGAGAAGGAGGAAAGGCTGGATGAATGGAGCTGTTCTAGAAGATTCACCATCCATTCCCTACCATGCCTCATCCTCTTACCACAGCTCCATCACTCACTCCCAAGTTTATGAAGTGCTTTCTATCACCAGTTACTACTCTAGGTGCTTGGGATACACAACTGGGAGAAAAGGACCACAATGTGTATTCTCTTAGAGAGTAGTTTCTAGTAAGGAGAGACAGTGTATTTGGCAGCAGAATGAAGAAATTCTCAGTACGGTGTGCCAGTGATAGGCCAGTTAGTTATTAAAGGAGGGGAAAGAGAAACTGAATAGAGGCAAAGAAAGAAGAGAGTGGTATATAAGACTCAGAGGGGGGTCTGCCTGACCAGTAGGCCAGACAGGAGGATTTGTGGAGTTTCTCTGACTAAGGGAAATACTGGCAGGACTGAAATGAGAAAGTAGCTGGGGAACACAGATATTTGGCCATGGAGGAAAAATGGGCCAATCTGGGGCCCAACTGCAGGGCTCACACTGAGAATGAGCACACTCCCAGGCCAGCCCTTCAGGGTGCAGTGCAGGCTCAGGGCAGGAACACAGCATTCTGCCCATTGCTTATTGCTCTTCTCTTCAGCCCAGCTGTCCCATCACTCACGCCTGCTGCCTATTGGTTATTTTTGCTATGGAATGTGCCAGCCCCTCGGATTCTCCTGGGGAACAGGGGCTCAAATTACAACCTCTGTCCACTCAGCTCCCCCATCTATGAGAGAGTGCATTTAGGGGTGTCCAGGGTGTTTGGCTAGAACTAATATGGACACACGTGTGCCCTCTCAATGCAGGTCTCTACAGATGTATCTGTATGTGTGACATTGACCACTGGTGGTCTGAAAAACAAGAACACCTATATGCAACCAGAATGTACAAGAGAGGATCTTAAGCTTTAAGATAAAAGAGCTTCAATCTCAAACTTGCAGGAGCCAAGCAGAAATTGAAAATGAGGAAGATGCTGTTGTTAGCATCTGGATTGGGCTGTGTTGTCTCACCCTAAACATTGTGCAGGTTGAACTGAACTCATTGGCTCTGTCTTGGTATTTATTATAGTGCTCAACCTTCAAAGTGATAAGGTCAGGGGACACACTGATGAACTGGTACATGGTACTTAATGACATAACAGTCAATAACCCACTTATAGAATCCTGGCTTCCTCGATTTACTGGCTATGTGAAGTGGGGCAAGTAATCTCTCTGTACCTCAGTCTTCCTCCTTGTGAGGATTAAGTGAGTTATTCATACAAAGTGCTTAGCGTATGCCTAGTGCAGACCAAGAAGGCAATACTGTGTTCATAATTACTTAGTACTGTTGTCATAGCTGGGAAAGCAGTCTAGGGCCACCAGTGCATGCTGAGATGAGAAGACCTGTAGTCTGTGGGGCTCTGGCTAAGTGATACTATTTCTCTGAGCCTCAGCCACTTGTCAGGTGAATGGGGATGAGCATGCTCCTAAGAGTTTCCTAATCATGGGGTTGTTGTGAATGAGGTGACATTTGTAAAGAGGCACTTGGCAAATGCTAATGAAACCTGGCTACAATGATTATTGGGGAAGGAAGATGGAACTTTGTTTATGCAGTGTGTGCCTGATGTTGAGGAATGTGGGATGGGCAGTGGGGGAACACTCAAAAAAAATCTTGTGTGCGCTCACTTGTGAGAACGAGTTGACTTTGAATTACAAGGAGAATTTATGAGTACCTCTGTGTCTATGTGTGTGCGGGGGTGGGGAGGGGCAGCACAAAAGCATCAAGAAATCTGAGCAAAGAGAGGAAACCCCTGTTTTATTGTCCTGAGGCGCCTGGGTTCATGTCAGCAAGTAGCCGCAACCCGAAGTCTCTTGCCTTGCCCATGGTCTCGGCGCCTCCACACGGTCCTGTGCCCTGCAGTGAGTTGGGTGCTGCCTGACAGTGTGCGTGTGCGCATGTTTGCAGAGTGAGCGAGTGGCTATGAAGCTGACCTTCCAGAGCCGCCCCGCTGGAGGAAGGAGGATGTGGCCAAGAGGCGGCCTTGCGCTGCCAATGAGAGTGGCCTGAACTAGAGGCCACTACACCCCTTTCTGTGCCTCAGTTTCCCCATGTGCCCAGGTCCGGGAAGGCAGATGTGGGGTGGGGGTACGGGCTTTCAGCATCGGGAGCTGTCTAGTGAGCGAGCTGGATGGCAGGCGAGTGCTAGCCCAGGGGACGCGGAGGGGCAGAAAAGGGAAGGGTCGCCAGGTGGGGTGCAGGCTGGCGGGGGAGGGGCGGGCTCTGGGCGCCGCCGCCGCCGCCACCGTCTTCATCTTACCCCCACCCGGGCTCCCGAGCCCGGGCGGCTCCTTCCGCCACCCGCGCCGGCTCTCACCCGTTCCCCAGCTCGCCCCCGGCCCCGCCTCCGACTCCGCCCCGCCCCCGCCTGTCCCCTCCTCGCCAGGCCGCCGGCCCGGCCCCCTCCCCCGCCAGGAAGAAGCTGTGGGTGAAGA